GGCCCGGGCTGGATTCGAACCCACCACCTTGGGTGTACCTGGCTGGCGCCTTAGCCACTTGAGCCACAGGCACCGAGCCACCAATTTCTTATGGTTAGGAAAAGCAAGTCTAGAGCAGGAATTTGATATCTGTCTGCTTTTCCTAGATTTCCTGAAAATAACAAGATCATTAGAAATCAGTAACTGTGCATTTTCACCCCACTTCATTTAGTAGGCATGTGATTTAAAGAAAATCACATAGCAACCTCAGGCCCTGGTTTCCTGATTTATATAAGAAATATGGTAGATTCATCCTTTCCCACTCCATAACTTAATGACTATAACAATGCACATTTAGTTTACTGCATCCAAATATATATAGTTGGTGAGATCTGCTTAGCTATCCATGCTCCCCTGGTTGCCCCCTCTGTATCCATCCCGCCTTCTTCCACTTTGAAGCACAGAAGATCGAGGCCTGATGATAATAACACAAAGCTGTGTAAACTTTTCACAGGCTTCTTAAAATGCACTTCTAATTTGGCACACCCTACCACAGCAGTACTGGATTTCTCCTTAAACAAAAATGGTCACGGGTGTCAAAGAGATGTGAGTGAGTGTCCACTGAACTGTGTCTAAATGATTTTCCTTGTGACCAACGCCAGCCTGGAATAAGCCCCTGTTAGTGAGAAGACAGAACATGCTTCCCAGGCCGAAGAGGCATTGTTCAAAGTAATGAGTTCTGCACCACTTGGTCCACAATCCACAGCTGAGTCTGATTTTCCTAGACAAAGAGCGATAACCAAATGGAGGATGCTCTTCAGCGAGCTTCTCTGAGTTTATAATTATTATTAGACTCATGAGGTGGAGAATGAATGTCCTAGGAATGACAAGAGGAAATGTCTGTCAACCCTGGGCAATATTATCCCAGAGGTTTGTCATGGATGTAAGGGATTTCAATCGCGTCTAAACTCACTAAAAATGCCTAGAAATTATGTCAGTTGAAAAGTTAAAATGTTTAAATATCCTACTGTATTCCTTTTATCTATGGTAAATGTATGTGCTCCCCCTTTTTTTATTCATGGAAATCATAATCATAATCCTTCAAGCATGCAGACCAACACTCCTCTTGGAAGGGAGCTGCGGGAGGATCATTGTCATGAAACACAGACCCAGAACAAAGGACTTCTGAATCACTCACCTTATCCCCATCTAAGAAACCTGAGATTTACAGGGTTTCTATGTTTCTCCCAAACTCAGTACTGCACTTGCCAAGTTTTAGGATCTGTCTAGTTTAAACTACAAAAGTGTAAGTAAATAGCGCTCGTAATGCTTCCTACCTTATATATAGATCCTTACCTAAATTGCTCAAAACTATGCTTAGCTTTGTGGTTGTTTTTTATTCACCATTTAAGCACCTGTTTCTGAATCTGGAAGTCTGACCACCACCAAATCAATCGTTCTCTTTGAGAATACTAAAGGGTATATCTCTACCCTGAAAACCTGAAGGAGTATTAGAATTATTTCCGAATACACAAGTCTTAGTTCATGGAGGGTAGGAATCTGAATGGATTCATCTTGTTTGACCTAGTAAGTTCTCAATAAATATTTGTTGACTAAATGAATACATTATGTAAAAAGCATTTCATTAAGAATTCTCACAGTATTTTACATTATGGCACCCTTTATTGCGACGCACCTTTATCAGATTCTATTTTTATAATTTTATCCCTGTAATTATTCTGCCAGACTGATTTTTAAAATGAATTTAATTGAAGTTGATGATGTGGGAAAATGTATCAAACAGAAGCAATGACTTGAACAGACTTTATTAGGAATCTGGAATAACTATAAATCCTGTCCCTGCCCATCAGCCTCCCCTCCCTTTGTCTCATTCCCACTGCCTCTCCCCAGCCTCCCCCACGCACTCCCAGCCTCATTATTCCATGATCTGCTAAAACTGCAGTTTACCTCCTGGAACCAGCAGAAACACATGTCACTGAGAATTAGGGAATTGGAGCCAGTTACAAGCCACCAGATAGGGTCACAAAGTATCTGAACCTGAAAATTAAAGAGGTTTTTTTTTTTTTTTTTTTAATGAGAAAAAGGAAAAAACTCAATTGGGCCTTTTTTTTTTTTTTTTGAAGATTTCGGCTGGATGGACTGTACAAGGTATTTATAGCAAGTGAGATCAGAAGAGACCTTTAACGGCATGTCATTTGCTAATTATTTGAAAAGTACTATGTTGATTTCGTTTGCTGACGTTAGGATATTATTTTAAAACTTCTACCACTAAGGAACACTGGCTATTCTTGAAAGCTAATTGTTGAAAGGAGGATATAGCAAGACAGGACGCACAAATTGCTTTATCCAAGGCATTTGATGCCACACTTTATACCAGGAAGAATAACTCCATTTTGAACTTTTATTAGCGATATGAATGCTAACGAATGTTTATTGAATATCAGCGAGGTTATCAATCATGCTGCCAAGTACTGATGCAGCCTAACAAAAAGAAGCAACAAGAAACTCAGCTCTTCTCCATACCCCCTCAGATGTGTACTCTTGCCAAAAGGCTGTGTGTCAACAAACGGGACTTAAAAGACGGGATTGTCAAGACTCACAATGTTAAGAAAATGAAAATGACTCTCAGTAGACAGCTTGAGAAAGCTGGTTTGTGCAAAGGCTTTCTGAAACATTCTTTGCAGAAGATTTTAACCCAGAAGTAACCAAACGCAGGGGGGAATGAAAAAACAACCACCTTCTCTGCGAAAGCCTTTGTTTCTCTTCATTGGCATTTTATGTCGGTCCGCTTTGGAGGCATCTTGTTGCTACAAACGTGCCACAAAGAGGGCACAGGTGCTGCCTGGCTGTACACGCCCAGTCTCCCTCACGTCCGTCCTCCAGCGCTCCTGACCAATCACATGACTGAACTTTTTAAAAAACTCACGAGGAAGTAAATGTTTTATTCGCCTCCACTTTTATGGGCTAGAAGGGAGGAGGATTTCAATTGCTGCCCCAATAAGCAATTTCTCACCATTTTCTTCCGCCTATAATCAAAATGGGAACAGAGGACGAGAAAAGTTTTGCTTTCTTAATTTAGTTCTTGCTTTAATGCTAAACTCCTAACATCAAAATGACGTAATAAGTTGATTCCCAGTTACAAACAAAAAGTCCCAGTGAGGAGAGAGGGCCCCGCAGACGCTCAGCAGGGGACGCGGCTGCTGCGCGCTGGTGGCGTCTCGGATCCGCGGCTCTGTCGCCAAGGGAACGCTGCGCAGGCGCAGAGCGCACCAGCGCGCGGCCGGGGTCGCCTCCACCGCCCAGCGTCGCTCGGGTGCCCCACGTTCATCCCGGGAAAGGGCAATGGATCACGCCAAGTCTTCACTGAGAGGGTCCTGAGCGGGGTCACCGGGCGCAGGAAGAACCGTGAGAGTCCCCAAGTGTAATGGATACCATACTCCCCTTGCTGCAGAAAACGGACCTACTCTCCTGGAGGCGTCAGGCGGTCGAGAACGGTCTCGGGACCCCTCCAGTGGGCCAGGCATCCCGCAGCGATGCGTGACCCTCCACACGCCTAAACCCCACCCACCACCGCCACATGGGACCCGAAAGTTAAATTCCTGCGCAGGCACACACACACACACACACACACACACACACACCCCGCCAAGAGCAGCGGTGGCCAGTTCCCCACACCAGGGCTTGGGGGATCACTCACACACACACAACAAAGTCCTAAAGAGGAGTGTCCCAGCCGGGACTTCTGAGAGAGGACCTCCGGCCACCTGCTCACTTGCTCACTGGTGGTGGTCCAGTCCTCTTTTGCCTGCACCCCACCACCTCCTCCAAAGCACTAACCTCCTCAGCTTTGAGTGCCCGGCAGACGAAGGACTCCTCGGAGTCCTTGGCACAGGAGCAACCTCCAAAGTCCCGGGATGATGAGTTATTGGCTCTCGTCACCTGAATTCCAAATCCCCACTCGGGGCCAGAAAAAAAAAAAAAAAAATAGGAGGACACTTGTGCACACCAGCCCGAAGAAACCCGCAGAGGATCTGGGAGGAGCAGAGCGCCGCCGCCACAACCTGCTTTCTCATTCAAATCCTCACGCCCACATTGGAGCCCCCTCCCTCCCGGCCCCGCAGCTCCGGAGGAAATCAGGAACTGGAGCTGGGGACAGTGGACTGGAGCGCCCGCCGCCTCCGCGGGCTTCGGGACCGGTGTCCAGGGCCGAGAGCTGGACCTGGACGCCTCGGCCTGCGCCCTGCAGCTGAGTGCCCCCCGCACGCAAGGGCCGGAGCACTGGGAAGGAAATCCCTTCTGTCCCACCGGGTCCCAAGTTTCACAGGTTCCCAAACCCAGGGACACCCCCTGATTCTCAGTTTGGGGCAGTAGTCAGGAGGGTCAGGGAGTTGCTGAAACAAAGTTAGAAGTGAAGGGCGCGGAGAGCGGGAACTGTGTGCAGCTTGCACGCAAGTGAAAAGTATTAGAACCTCACCTAAAAGGAAATCCCGAGCCACCTGTCTCCTCCTCTCCCATTCAAAAAAAAAATGCATTCTTTATTTTTATATAACTAGCGTCGGTCGGTGCCGTTATTAAATTGAAGAGATCTTCATTACGTGAGGTGCATCTAAAACGGAGGGAGAGGAAGTGTAGGAAAGGGCACTTAGCTTTTATTTACCACCGGCCCTCCCTGCCCCCTTCTCCTCTTCTAAATACTACTCCTTGGCGTAAGAAGTCAATTATCCGTTTAGGTCGGGTTGTGGCCGGTTGACTTCAGCGGCAACCTGCAGTCAGAGCTGGGCGGTGGCGGGGAAAGCTAGCCCGGAGCAGGCACCCAAACGTTGGTGCCACGACGAAATCTGCGGAGCGCGTGGAGGTGACGAGGGATCAGCTTGGGGCAGATGCTGGAACAGCCAGTGGCCTAGCCAGCCGCGGTGGGATCCAGCTTCGGGATTCCAGGATTTGCATTTATCAGCCTTCATTCAACCTGCCCTATTGTTAGTTCAAAGCCTGGCTGGGAGGGAGTGGGGACGCTGCTCCTTACTCACCTTTCAGTTTTAAATTCTCCTCCAATAAGAACGTCCTGGGAAAGCTGGCAGCATGGGGTTGGCAGGGATTTTCTGGGCTGAGTGACAACATAAACTAAAGTCATTTTCTTTTTTCATGCGCGAATTTACTCAGGAAGTAACAGATGAGTGCCTGAGATTGGAGAGCAGGGCCTGGCTGTCGGTCAGCTTTGACGGACAGTTAGCGTGGGGGTGGTGGCACCGTGACCTCCGTGCAAGATCTAGGGTTTCACCTTTTCATCCCACTTAGCCGATACCATAGAAACAACCCATTTGTATTATTCAATTCAACGGAGGCAATTACAATGTCACAGCAAAGCACTCTGGGCAAGACGAAACTTTATCCTGAAAGCAATCCCGGACTCTCAGAAAAAAAGAAAGAAGCCACCAGAATAGCCACTTGAATTTCTTCTTGCCAACGGTGCCACGAAGAAATCAATTTGGAAAAAAATATTCAAGGCCGTTGGCTCTATAGAAACTTCCCCAAATTTCTTCTTCTTTTTTTTAACATACCCACACACAAATCCACAATTTATAAGAGACTAAGGAAATAACCTTCTGCCTCCATAGTGGTTTTTGTTTTGTAGACATGTGCTTTTTGGAGATTTGTTTTGCCAGTGATCTCTATGGTGAGATCATAGGAGAGGAAAACAGAAAAACGGGATAATTCTTCCTCAACTACAGTTATCCAACCCCAACCTCCTGTGTTTATCTCTCTGAGTCTGAAAAAATGTAGACACACATAATAAAATGAGCTCAGACGCAAAGTTTATAACTGCACTTGTTTGCTATGCATTCTTTATAGTTTTAATCAATGGTCCATAACTTTGTGGACTTTTAGATTTTTTAACTACGCAATATTTCAAATCTCCCCCAAATAAGACAGACACCATATAATAGTCCTGTTTCCCCACCCTTCTTTTTTAAATAAAGCATTGTAGTTACAGCTAAAACCCCAACTCCTGGGTATTCCCACCTCCACCTTCCCAAAGGTAATGATTCTAAAGTTGGTGTGACATGTATATTCTGAATCTATAATCTTTTAAAGTAGCATTTCTCTCCAAGTCTCTTTTTTTAACACCATTAATCACAGAAAAATCACTAACTAAAAACAAGACAATATTGTTACGTCATTAAGTTTTGGAAGCAGAACTGTTTTTCCTTGTGGTGACAGTCAGAAGGACTAGTAACAAAGGGGTTACACAGTCAGTAACGATCAGTCTCTCTAGGTTACACAAACCCTTCCATGGTTATTGAAGAATCAACAGAAAATAAAACGAACAATATCCCCTCCCTTCTCTGTAAGGGAAATTTGACAAAATGAGATCAATGGCTAAAATTTCTTTGGACAGAAAAAAACAAACGTCCTGATGGTAGTAAAGTACCTTTTCTGAATTGTCTCTTGGTTATGCAAGCCATGATCTCCTAGCAAGTGTTTACCACTTCTCAAGTGTGAAGGACTCCTGCTAGTAGCTCAATTCAAGGTTGAAATCAGCCCCACTGCAAAGTCTGGAGTTGAACCCACCCTGCTTACCCTTGCACTGGACCTCTGTCTGTACAGTAATTACAAAAACATGTTTGCTGTGCTCCTTTGACTTAATGTCCTCCCAGCATTACAAGTGCTAAGAAAGCACTGATTTTCTTAAATACCACCGACTGGTGAAAGATGCTGCCCAACCCCCACCCTCCTCACTTCCTGAGCAATCACTCTCATTAATTATACTGGCACATCACTGCCCAGCCTCCCTTCTAAATAGCTGCCAGATTTCTACATATTATCTCTGCCTTGATACGGAATGTACACTGACACCAGGATCACAGAACATCCTGTAAGGGGTGCCTGATACACAGAGAAATGATTGATGTGATTTGTGGTGAGCCTGCTGTGCTTCGTACCATAGGGGGCTTCTTAGAAGTGTGCCTGAGGAATCCCTGTGCTGGAAGATTTTTCTAGCCGCGCAAAAATGGTGCTATCAGATGCGCCACATTTAAGATACTCGAATGTAACTAGAATTAATCTTAACTTGTATCCATGAAGAGAGAGAAGGACAGAAATATTACCTCTCTTTTAGTCAATGTACCAAGAAGTCAAGGGAACCATTGACCAAAGAGCTTATCAAGAAAGAATGATTCCTCTTTCAACACATGTTTCTGGAGGACTTTCTGGGTAGCAGGAGGCACTGCTCTAAGTGATAAGTCTTAGCTGGAATACAGATAGCGCTCCTGAAGACAGAGCAGCACCTGTTCTTATGGCCCTACTCTCTGGATGAGTCAGGCTTTTAAGTACAAATGACAAAACCCCAAATCAAACTAGCTTGAGGAAAACAGCCAAAGTATTAACTCTCCACTTTAAGGTAGGAGAAAGGATAAGGACTTCAGGAATAACTGAGCTCAGCGATGCAGAATCATTATTTCTCTAATTAAAGAAAATATTCAGTGACACTTGTCAAAGCATGTAAAGGCAGATATAGGGGCCACTGCAATGAGGGAGAGAGATTGGGCTTAACTCTGAATACAGTAGGCAAAGTAGGAATTTAAAGCCAAGGAGCAGTGGTGTGGTGGTCAGTGGGTGGAAAATTACTTAGAAGAAACATCAGGGCTAAGGGGAACTCTGGCTGCCCCCAGCCAACAGGATTCTTGCTGAATACAGGCCAGGGTGATCAGACATCACCTGGGGGATGGTGGAGGATGAGGGATCTGGGCTTTACAAGAAAGTGGGCACACGCGGGCCTAGAAGAAGGTTGAGAAACCTAAGGTTTGGCCAATCAAAGAATTTCTGTGCCTCACTCACTCTCACTTTTGCGGCAGCTCTCTCTGCTTTTTCTCCTATTACAGATGAGCTTCTCCGGTAGCCTGGCAGGGATGGGAGGGCATCACCAGGGACAGCTCCAAGCTCAGTCATCTCAGCTGGTGATCCCAGGGGGAAAGGAGCCTTTCTTGGTTTATCATTCATGTTTAAACGTAGTCTCACTCTGTCACTCCGGTAGAGGGTTGTAGCAAACTCTTAAGTTCAAGCAATCCTCTTGCCTCAGCCTCCCAAGCAGCTGGGACTACTGGTGCTCACCACACTGCCTGGCTAATTTTTCTTATTTTTAGTAGAGACAGGATCTCACTCTTCCTCGGGCTGGTCTCAAACTCCTGAGCTCAAGTGATCCTCCTGCGTCAGCCTCTCAGGGTGCTAGGATTACAGGTGTGAGACACTACGCCCAGCCACTTTTATCATCTTTTTTAAATTTATTATTTTAACTTTTTTTTTGGCCAGGGCTGGGTTTGAACCCACCACCTCTGGTATATGGGGCCAGCACCCTACTCCTTTGAGCCACAAGTTCCGCCCTTTATCATCTTTTAAATAAGATTGTAGGAAAGGATTCCAACTGACTTGACTCAGGCTATGTGTCCATCAATTATCGCGGTCAGCAATAAGTAGAGTGTGGCCAGACGTGATTATATACACACCTGGATGGCCAGGGAGGGGGGTTGCTCTGAGTAGCAGACCTACCAGAACTATTTGGGAGTCAGAGAGGATTTGGTCCCCAGAGAAAGCAGGGGTATTGGCTCGGCGCCTGTGGCTCAAGTGGCTAAGGTGCCAGCCACATACACCTAAGGTGGCGGGTTCAAATCCAGCTGGGGCCTGCCAAAACAACAATGATGGCTGCAACCAAAAAAAAATGGCCAGGCATTGTGGGGGGCGCCTGTGGTCCCAGCTACTTGGGAGGCGGAGGCAGGAGAATCGCTTGAGCCCAGGAGTTGGAGGTTGCTGTGAGCTGTGATGCCATGGCATTCTACCCAGGGGGATAAAGCGGGGGTATTCTTACCAAAAGAAGATAAGAAGGTAATTCTGGCAGATAAAAGGAACAATTGTTTTCTACAGCGCCCCGTCCTAACTCAGCCACCAAAGAAAGATACAAAGAAAGATATAAACACCTTTGTACAGATTCATCTGTGTATGACAAAAATGAAGAGTGAGATCAGAGAGAAATTTTCTGAGTCCATCAGGAAGAAACAGGAGAGTAATGATCAAGTGCAAATACCTCCAGGTGCAGCTGAGAGGCACCTGTCCCCACATGTGGCCAGCTGTTGTGCTGAGCTAGAGATGGGGGAGAGGAACCTGAGCAGAAAGCTGTCTCTGGGAGGGCTCTTTTGTTTTTCACTTTTTATCCTGGAAGTGTTTATATACAGAAGTAGAACGGTCTAATAAAGACATATGTATTAGTCACCCTGTTTCAACGATTACTAGTATTTTGGCAACTTCATCCAGAAATGTGGAGAATTCACTGAAATACTTAAATTCATAACTTAACACATTTTTGCAGTGCTATGGTCTTGGTTACTGACAAAAATGCGTGCCTCCAAAGTAATTAAATTACAAAAGACCAGTGCATGTGAGGCCCTTAGCAAAATGCCTGGTATGAAATGAGCTCTCAAAAATGTCAATTATTTTTACTGTTATTATTGGCAACCTATTTAAGGCTTTTAAATACTAACCAAGTTTACAAGTCCACCTGTTGAAACCTATTTGGTGTGCAAAGGAAAATAAACTAAATATATTTGTGTATATATATGTAAACATATAAATACATATATATATATGGTTTTTCTGAGATGGGGGGTCTATGTTCCCCAGACTATATTTGAACTCTCAGGCTCAAGGGATCCTCTCCAGCCCTCCCAATACTACAGGTGTGTACCACTGATGGGAAAATAATTTTTTTTTTGGAGACAGAATCTCTCTCAGTCACCCTGGGAGTGAGTACTATGCCATCATAGCTCACAGCAACCTCAAACTCTTGGTCTCCAGAGATTTTTCTTGCCTCAGCCTCCAGGGTAGCTCAGACTATAGGCGCCTGCCCCAAAGCCTGGCTATTTTTTAGAGACAGGGTCTCACACTTGCTTAGGCTGATCTCCAACTCCTGAGCTCAAGCAATCCACCCACTTCAGCCTCCCAGAGTGCTGGGATTACAGGCATGAGCCACTGCACCCGGCAGGAAAAATAATTTTTTAAGCCTGATTCTTTATTCCTTACTACCTCATTTTTAAATTATTAATTTATTAATTTATTATTTTTTGAAACAGAGCCTCAAGCTGTAGCCCTGGGTAGAGTGTCATAGCATCACAGCTCACAGCAACCTCTAGCTCCTGGGCTCAAGCAATTCTCCTGCCTCCGCCTCCCAAGTAGCTGGGACCACAGGCGCCCGCCACAATGTCCAGCTATTTTTTGGTTGCAGCCGTCATTGTTGTTCAGTGGGCCCAGGCTGGATTTGAACCCAGCAGCTCAGGTGTATGTGGCTGGCGCCTTAGTGGCTTGAGCCACAGGTGCCAAGCCTTAAATGATTTTTTTTTTTTTTTGGTTGCAGTTTTTGGCCAGGGCTGGGTTTGAAGCCGCCACCTCCAGCAAATAGGGCCAGCGCCTTACTCCTTTGAGCCACAGGCGCCACCCTTAAATGATTTATTTTTATAATGAGCTATTTATATTTTTTCTATAACAAGCCTATATAATTGTTTCCTTTTAGATAAAAATCTCAAAAAAAATAGTCCGAGCAAATGCACTTTTCACCTTATAAATAAGCAGAAAATATAGGTCAAAGTGTCAAGCTCAGGAATGAGTCTGGACTAGATACCAGAATTCTAAACTCTAGGTTCCCTATTTGAATACCTTGGCAAAATACCTCACCCTGTGAATGGTGGACGCAGGTGAAACAGCAGAGTTCCGCCTAAATTCATCAATTCAACTCAGAGTTTCTTAATCCTAGTTACACTTTACAGGAGATTTTAGTTCCCAGTATAGAATGAATACTTTCTTTTCTTTATTTTAGTTTATTGTTAGGGATTCATTGAGGGTACAAGAAACCAGGTTTCACTGATTGCATTTGTTAGATAAAGTCCCTCTTACAATCGAGTCTTGCCCCCAAAAGGTGTGCCACACACCAAGCCCCCCTCCCCTTCCCTCTCTAGAATGAATACTTTTTTTAAAGGCAGAAAGTATGTTAATTAAAGTGAACTTTTCCCATTTCAATTTTCTTCAACTTGTTTCATTGTATTCTTTCCTGCCCTGAGCAGGGGAGAATGAACAAGCTATTTTACAGGAAACAATAGCGTCAGGGAAGCCCAGGGCCCCTTTCCCTTTCTCCTAAGACCTTCAGGACTCAACTCCCGGCCTTTGGTTTTCAGAGAGACCTCCCACCAAGCGGGTATCAGCACTCTTCAGGATGGCCAGAGCTTGCTCTGGGACAGACATTTAATTGAAGTACTTTATTCAGCCTAGGAAATAATACTGAAACTTCGAGACTACACATTTCCATTATATAATATACTGGTTTCTCCCTCCAATACCACTATTAAAAAGTTTTGCAGAATCCAATAATATAATTGAAAGAAAAATGTATCTGCATAATCTATCCAATTGTAGACCAGTCATCTAAAAAACCAATCATTTTTATAGACTTTGAACAAAGATTTGGAAAAAGAAAAGATTTATAATTCATTCTCCTGTATTATAGAGAAAAAAAAGAAGAAGAAACAAACTAGTAAAACAAAATGCAAATTCTAAAGCTTTAAAAGATGAAACAAAAAGGTAATTTATGCCACAGGAAAGAGTTTCCTATTACCCTACTATTTGGAATTCCAATGGGGAAAACAACTGTTTTCTTAACCAGAAAACAAATGGTTAGGTTTTTTCCACCCAAACATAGTAAAAGGAGACACTACATTTAAAAATTGTATGTTAGTTTTTGTTTCATTTATTAGTTTAAACTAAATATATATTCAGGGGGCTTGGTTTGTCCAAAATAAACATCATTTTTAAACTCGACAAGTATACAAAATGTTCCTGCAGCTCCTGTAAGACAACTTAATCTTTGTGGTGTAGAATCATGGGATCTATGGGGGGAAGTCAGACTGAAAAGATAAGTTCTGGTCAAAAAGAGAAGGCGACACTTTGATGGTCCACTCTTCTTTTCATTCTTATTTAATAAATATGTATAGGGTTCCTAGGTGGGCAAAAGACTTAACTAAATGCTGCAGAGGGAGCAGAAATGATCCAAAATTTCATTCATGGAGACTGTGGCTCAAGGAGTAGGGCACCGGCCCCACATGCCCAGGGTGGCAGGTTTGAGCCCAGCCTTGGCCAAAAACTGCAACAACAACAACAAAAAATTTCACTCCTAAGTATGGTTTGAATTCCATAGCCTACTATATCCTGAACTAGAGAAAAGAGACAGGTAAATAAATCATTACAACATAACGTGACAAGTCCAACAACAGATAGGTATACAGTGTGGTAGAACAGAAGAGGGCGCCAATTACTCAGTTAACCTCCTAGTTACACAGAAATAAAGGATGAGTTGTGTTTCAATAACCAAAATAAAACGGAAAATAGAATAATCCCAATGCCTCCATCTTTTTGAAACCTCATTCCTGTCTGAATTACTCATTGTTCTCACTCTAGTTATAGAAACCTATTTTCACTGGGCTCCTTCAGATGAGAGACTAGAAAAGGAGACCTTCTGTACTGATTTTCAGGCACCCATAACATGATACTTTTGCACTACAAGACAGTATACACATTTGGCTCAGTGCCTGTGGCTCAAGCAGCTAAGGCGCCAGCCACATACACCTGAGCTAGTGGGTTCAAATCCAGCCC